GTGGTAGGGGCCTGCCTGCCACGGAGGCCCGGGAGCGAGGGTCAGCGGGGTTGTTGCTGCTGCTACGGCCACAGAAGGGCTTTGCTGAGGGGCTTTCGCCAGGTGTGACCGAGGAGCAGCTGTCCCTGACATTCCCAGGTCCTTAGGAGCTGAACCCGGCAGGATTCCTTCCTGCAGCGAATGGATCTTCAGCTTCTCATAGGCTCTCAAGCAACTCACGTTTGTGAACAAAAATCTCCCTCCCGGGCCCTGGCAGCCCCGAATCTGTCTAGGCCAGAGGCCAGCAGGTTCCTGGCTGAGAGCCTGGGAATGGGTGACGTGCCAGCGTGAAGGCTGCGATGGCCCTTCTCTCACCTCCAGGAGGGTGGTCCTTCATCGCACGGTGACCTGTGAGCTGTCTCTTTCATTCCAGTTCTTTCCAGCAGTGAGCACACAGGTGAGGCAGCAACCTGGAGCTTCCTACCCCCACCCCGAACGGAAAACACTACCTTACAGCTGGGAATTTCAGCCCCGCACCACCCATATGACAGATATAACCGACTAAGAGTCCAAAGAGCGTAGGCACAGAATGAAGGCTGGGTCTTTCACGCGGAGTGGAGGGGAGGGAGGAGAAGCCAGCCTCCTTCCCAGACGGGAGACGCCTGGGAAGTTCTCTCTGCACAATCATTGGAGACAGTTAGAGGGAAACCCGAATGTCTGCTATTTGGGAAAAGTTTTAGGGGAAAATGAAATGGTAGATACTAAGACGAATTATTACTGTCAGGTAAGGAAAATGGTTGAATCAATAACAGAACCCCTCTCGTTCTGTAAAGGTTTTCCGATAGGAGCCCCCCCAGTCCTGGCGAGCAGTAACTGCATGGTGACATGTCCCCAAGGTCATTGCTGGCCTGACATGCCACACACCAGTCGCTGTCATTACACAGGCGCCTGCTTGTCACTCACGAGAAGGTGGGCTGTGTCAGGGAGCTGGTCTGTGCCAGGTCTGAGGTTTAAAAGGCCAGCGTGGAGCTGCCAGCCTCCCAGGTTCCGGGAGGTGGGTTCTGGTTTCCACAGCGTGTACCTGACTCAGCCCATCCCACGTGCTCGTCTCTCAGGGAGTGTGTGACACACTTGCCAGTGCACGCTGGTCGTTACTGCGATAACAGGCTCAGAAACACTTACTAGTGTGCAGCTATTTTCAAAATCCCGAGTCCTCTGGCAGCAGGGTTCTGTTTGGGAAGCCACACCCCTTTTCTTGGTGGATGGTGCAGTGTCTTCCTTTTGTTTTTTTCTTTTTCCCCATCTCCTTTCTTGTTTTACTTAGATGTGGGTTAAATGAAGTCCCAGAGACCCTGGCCTGCTCAGGAAGTCCCCTCGTCACCACAGGCCCAGCCCGAGTGGCACCACGGAAGCACATAGCAGTCACCACACATTAGGCCCTCCTGTTAGTATAGTTTATAGAGTCACTTAAAAAAAATCAGTGTAAGTTAAAAAAAAATTGGCAGAGGAAATGAAATCTGATTCAGTTAAATTTTATAAACTAAAATGTTACCGATAAAATTTGTCCCAGGGTAAAAATAACATGCGGTCCAACATTTCTTTTAAATGTCACCGTACAAACTGTCTCCAAAATCTCAGTGTTAGTAAGTTACTGACTTGAGTATATTTGTCAAAGCGGAAAGAGTAAAATTCATTTAAAAAATTTCTGGCACATTTGTAATTAAGATTTTTTATATTCTCTTAAAGAGAAATGAAAAAGATTCTTGGCTCTTTTCAATGTAGCCCTCTCATTCCACTTGTCCTAAACAATTAGGAAGCAATGCATTTTGCAGGCATTCTTTCTATTTCATCATGGGGCTGAGTCAGGAAGAAGAAAATTTTAGGCAAATGTTGAAAATGTTTTCGTGGACAGGAATCTAACCTGTGAGGTAGGAGACCCAGTACAGAGCCAGGCCACCTGAGGCCTGTTTGCACCTGAGGGAAGGATCGCAGCTGGTTGACCACATCTGATCAGACGCTAGAAGAATGCTCCTCCCACTGTTTATGGAAAAGGGAAATAGTACTAGAGTTTGAAACGCAAGGCAAATTTTCGTTCTTTGTTTTTGCATGGAAAAGTAAA